TCCATAACATTATGATTTTTTACAAGTGTATGTACACTTTTGACCACAACTGTAGCTTGTACTGCCTTAAACATTTAGACTTTTAGACCATTTCATTGCACAAACATTATGCAGTTTTCGGGATCTGTGAATGATGGCTTTATTGCCTCAAAATGCTGTATTGCAGGAATGAATAAGTCAAATTTTCTCTAAATTCCTTTTGAAGTTGCTCTATAAGGGTTTGAACCTTCACTTCAGGCAACTACTATATTTAAACAGGCACGTGTTTGCATAAAGTTGCCAGTGTTCTGACCACTGTTGTTCACACTCAGGACTTGGAAGATGTGGATGACTCGGATGGCGAGGACGGCGGCGACGATGACGGACACGACGAGTTGTAAGAGCTGCAGGAAGAGAGAGAGAGAAGGCGAGAGGAGACCCACCCCAACCGTTCCAACCAGTCACCACCACCTTTGCTTCCTCGTGGACCTTCCCTGTCCTGTGAACATTAACAGTCCACCTTAAACTGTCCTTCAGTAAAGCTAGCCTGAGAACCAACCAGTCTGACCATCCACGGCTGGTTCGGCAGTTTTTTTTGGTGTTCACCATCTAAATCTTTAATTTGGCACGTTCTGCCCAGACTGGTCTCATTCCTCCTGCGGGATCCTTGGGACAGTGACCCCCAATGCCTCTACACAAGGCTCCTCATCACAGCTTTGTATAGTTTTGACCAAATGATTTAAGAACAAAAAAATAGCACTGATGTCCAGTTTTTGAAATACTAATTTTCCTAACAGGTTTATGACTCCCATCTGTAAAATGACAAAATGTTTTGAACTGAATGAAATGATCTGCAAGCTGAAGGTTTGGGGGCTGCCAGTGTTCTCCCTCTTCAAGAAATCCAGAGGACCATTGGGTTTTGTAAGGACTGTCTCAGGGGACAAGGGGCCATCCTTAATTTTTTTTTTAATTTTATTTTTTTTATATATTTTTTTAAGTAAACTCGGTGTAGCACACACAAAACCCCTCCCCCTCACATCTGTAGCCGAGACCAGTCATTTTCTATCTTCCAGCAGGGGGTTGGGGTGCCATTTCTTCATTCCCACATATTTCAGTTCTTTCTCCTCATGTCAGCACATCTACTGACTTATTTTTGCCTAACAGGAACAGTTAACGTTTGAGTAAAATCTCTTATTTAATTGCATTCACATCGGGGGTATTTGTTTTTATTTTTAATTTAGGACTTATTCTTATTGTACCATCGTGCCCAACTGTTGCCGGGCGGTTGGCCCTTTTGGGGCCGAGGTGGCCCTTACTCACCCTCTCAGACCTGTAGGGTGACCAGAGCCGGTTCTGATGGGTCGCACTGCATTCACGCCTAATTGGAGATTCACTGTGGTTACTGAAGCAGACAGCTTGGTGCAGTTTGTATCTGAAGTGGGGAGGGAACAGGTGCACAGCCCCGCCCCTTACCCACACTGCAGTCTCCTGCTTCTCTTTTGGCTCTACTCGGCACCCATAGTTGCCAAGGTGCCGTGTGGAGAATGTTTGCTTGTCTGAGAGAATGTAAACATGTCTGTTTGGGCATAAAGGGGGTTGAGTAGAGTGGGGGACGGTTGTGTTTGTCAACTAGCATTGGGTTTTGGGGGGGGGGGGGACTAACAAAACCATTCCATCATATTCAAATTAATGTGGAAAATGTGAAATGGTGGCCAATAAAAAAAGAAAAATGGAAATGTGTGGATTTGTGGTGTTTTTGCACTGAAGTCATGAAATGCCACTGCATGTAGTTCTGATTCTGAAATGCATATATAAAGATTTAATTCATTTGAGATTTGGTAATTTAACTCTCATCTAGTCAAATCTATTTTCTGTAATCTTAAGTAGCTGTAAGTCTTTGAGGCTATTATTGTACACCAACATTACACACATTTAAAGCTGATTTTCAATAAGTAAAAAAAAATAGTAAAACTACTCCAGATGTTCTGGCTAAGACTATAGTAAGATTGACTTCTCACTTGTCCAGCAGATGGTAATTGAAATCCTTCAAAAGGCCAAGCTGGTGAGGGAGCTCTACCCAAATATATCAAAAAACTGAGTAGGAAAAATAACTGGTAGAGAAGAGGGGTGTAAGAGATGGGCATACGTCTCCATCTCTTGTACAATCCCAAATTTTGAGTGGGATTTGCTTCTCAAGGCTGAGGCTAAAATTAAATTGCATAACATCAGTGAAAATGATACAGAATTCCATCATTTTTTTTTTGATGCCGTCCCATATATTCTGAGTTTTAGTTGAGTTTGCTAATCCAGCACAGTTGTGCCATGACTTAAATGAGGTATTAATGTCGGGGAAAACATTAAAATGCTCTTGTAGTTGGCTGCTCTGGTTCTGGCCTTGATCAAATTCATGGGGTCAACACCAGATGATGTGGCTTCTTAAATTACTGTGAAACTTCAAACTTGACCTCCAGCAAACCCGTTACTCTCTCAATTCTTCCTTCACTCTGAAATGGGGACCTTCATTTCTAAATAAAATGTACTTTTAATCTAAAACAAGGACTTTGGACCACCAAGCCATCTGGTATTTTTCTCCTGGGTCCAAATAAGACGATTCTGACATCTCAGATTTAGGCAACAATTTAGCTGCAACTGAAACAAAGTTGTTTAAAAAGAGCTTTGGTAGGGCAGACGCTAAATTAAGTGTGCAGATATATCAAGATACTTTGCATGCACAATTTGGCATAGTTAGATTTTATCAGAATTAGATGACAGCACAAAGCTCCCAGAATTAAAATAGGAACAATGTCTTGGATGTATCTGGTGGCTTTTGAAGGCTGCAGTTCATGAATCTCTTACGAATTTTGACCGGGTTTTGTTCCCAATCCTGTCAGGGCTTAGGCTAACCCAGGCTATTAACTTCAACCACACTTTTTCCTTCCACTTAAATTTAACTTATCCCTGGACTTGTATACAAGTCTCACTTTCATTTGGAGCAGTATGGGCCTGTATGCAATGACAAGTGACCCACATACAAGCATCCATAACCCTTAATCAGTACATCGTTATGTTGGTAAATAATGGAAAGTCCAGTGTTTTACCAAAGTAAATGAGGTAATTATGAACATAAACTTTGTAACAACTAAAACTTTAATATCTATATAATTCATTCTCTGAAATGCTTCAACTCTTATTCAAAGCTGATTCCCAACAAGTAAACAGCAGGATGAAGCAAAACAATCTAGAAATTATCATCTGCCGTGTCACACCCTATAACGGTAATCAAACATGTTTATCAGTTCACTTTACCATCAACAGCCCCTCATGGGGACTTCACCTCACCCGATCCTGCCTGGTGTTTACTAGAAACCTCCAGCCTCCCACCTTCCTGTCAGCTGAAGGGGTGTCACTGATATATTTAAGTGGACAACACCAAGAAATGTGATGTTGACCCAGGTCCAGGAGGTTACTGGCTGTTATGTGTGTTGATGTAAGCTGTCTGAAGAGGCTTGTGACTGGTCAGAGGGAGGGAACTGGTTTGAGCCCACTCATCTTCCAAATCTTGCAGCTGATCTTAAAATAGGCCGGCAGGGAGAATAAAAGAGCCACGGAGGAAGCTGCACACTCAGAGGAGAGGTTGATCCAAGAGAGAGACACACCCCCTAAAGGGACTTACTTAAAGCTTTTTCAAGTTCTTCTGCAACAAGACTCCAGGATGAAGTACTACCGATGCCCCGTGTCCCAGACCCTGGGAATCAAAGCTTACAGCCAGCGCTGCAGCCTTCCAGTCACCTGCAAGAGCGCAGCCTCCCTGAAGCCGGTCCGGAGCGTCCACTTCCCCAACGACGTCGTTTTCCAGGACTGCGTCAGGCACGGCGAGCTGGAGAGGATCGGACGTTTCATCAGGGCCAGCAGGGTCAAGCTGGACACCATTTACCACTCTGGTGAGGGGCCTTTTCAGGATTGTGAGCTTTGCAATCAGGCAAAATTTTAAAACACTAAAAGAGCTCTCTCTCTCAAAAGGAATGGCAGCCATCCACGAGGCAGTCCTGACCGGGAATCTGGAGTGCGTGCAGCTGCTGGTGCACTACGGAGCAGATATCCACCAGAGAGACGAGGAGGGGTGGACCCCGCTGCACATGGCATGCAGCGACGGCTTCCCACACATCGCAAGGTGAGCGTCCACACCGGTTCATTTAGAGACTCTGCAGCAAGAGCAGGGAACTCTGGATATCATTATGTCATAATTACAGTCAGTGCTACACAATACGTATGAAGTGCTACTGAATATGGAATGAATCCACAATATATTTCAGATAAATTGTACACTACAGCTCTCATTAAAGTTGTTTGCCATCAGTGCGTGGATTCTCTTATGAGCTGTGCTGCAAAAACACAAAATCTTACCAAGTACTTTTGGTGTAGTTTCTAGTTTAAATATCTTTACACACTTGAAATAAGACAAATCTGACTTTCAAGTAACTTCTCATATAGGAGGCGTTTTAAGTCAATAGTTCCTTAAAATTGATTTTAAAAAAATAGGTACTAATAATGAAAAATAATCTGCCAGCGAAACAAGTTCTTTTTCATCAACATCAAAGAATTGATTTGAAACAAGCTCCTATTTTTTTTTGGCTGAAAAGTTACTTGTCAGATTCTAAGATACAGGGACTCAGACAGGGCTTTCCGCTGCGCAGACATCTCACCTTGACTGACCTGGAGTGTGTCTGGTTTCCCCTTCAGCTACCTGCTGTCGCTGGGCGCCGACCCGGAGCTGGAGAACGAGTGCGGCGAGAAGCCGGCTGACCTCATCGACCCGGACAACAAGGAGCTGCTGAGGCTCTTTGGGCTGGCGGTCAACGACTGAAGACCCCAGAGGTCCCTTGGGCTCCACAGTCGTCCAAAAGCCGCTGCAGGTTGTTCCGAACGTTCTTCGGCGGTGAGCGGAGAAAGCCGCATCAGTCCAGGTTCCTGGTTTTTTGAGCTGCCACAGCTCCGGGAGGGGATGGACGCCGGGTGGACGAAGGGCCGGCCGGCAGAGCCGACAGACTTGTCTGACTGGACTGTTTTACTCCAGCATAACCAACCTGCTGCGTCCTCTCCGCGCCTCAGACCTTTTTATAACTTAGCTTTTTTATATATATCGTTATCTGAATGTGCAGGAATGTTCGACTTTGTGAAACAAAGCTGTTGCACTTTTTAGTTCCATTTCTAAGTTTACTGTCATGTTTATGTTTTTAGCCTTTACCAGCAAGTTTGTTGTTGTGTTTTGATCATTTTTAACTAATTGTACTGTTCATTAACTTGTTTGTCCTTTTTTACTTGTTTAAATAAAGTTAATTAATTCCTGACGTCTTTGCTTTACCCTGCAGTGAACATTAAGGTTAAACTGAACAGATTTAAAAAAGTTATTTAGCAGAAAAGAGAATCGGACGTTTAAGTTAAATACATTTTTTTAGATGTTAAACCAACAGAGCAACTCTGTAACATCACGTTAAAGTTAGTGTTCCGTTTCCAATGAAACACCATGAATTATAATGGATCAAGGTTCTTCGTTAGTCTTAAATCAACACATATAGGTTAATCTAAACAAAATGACATTTATTTCAGTAATTCAATTCAAAAAG